AATCCGTGCACCAGGACACTAGTGTCTGAGATAAAAAGTCATTGTAAAATCCTAGGCAGAGAGAAGAAAAGACAAGTCAAAGGCAGTAAGAATATGGTTCAGGCCCTAGCCAGTTTGGCTCAGTGGATAGAGCATTGGCCTGCGGACTGAAGGGTCCCTGGTTCCATTCTGGTCAGGGGTGCATGCCCAGGTTGCGGGCTCGATCCCTGATCCCCAACCCCCAGATGGGGCGTGTAGGAGGCAGCTGATCAATGATTCTCTCTCATCGATGATGTTTTTAGCTCTCTCCCTCTCCCTTCCTCTCAGAGATCAAAATATATTTTTAAAATAAAATTTGTATCAAATCCATAGATCGGTTTGGGAAAACACTGATATTTTTACTATGTTGAGTCTACCTAACTAAATATAGTATGTCTCTCCATTTATTTAGATCTTTTTTTTATTTTCTTCATGAGCATTGTGTAGTTTTCAACAAAAAAGACTTATGTTTTATTAAATTTATGCGTTGTATTTTTTCTTTTTCTTTTTTAGTGATTGTAAATGGAATATTTCTAATTTCAGGGTCCACAAGTTCAAAGTTGGCATGTAGAATTAGTTGATTTTCATATGTTTATTTGATGGCATCCTGTGGCATTGCCAAACTCAGTTATTAGTTCTAGGAGTTTTGGGTACATTCCTTGGGATTTTTTTAAGTAACAACCATGTCACCTGCAAATAGAGACAGTTTTGTTTTTCTTTTCCTGTGTGAATGCCTTTTCGTTCCTTTCCTGCTTTATTGCACTCCCAGAACGTCCAGGACTATGTTGAATAGTGAGAGCCGACAACCTTTCCCTGGTTTGATCAGAGAATGACTCTCGTAGCATTAGGTATTCTGTTAAACATAATGCTGACTTATGTGTCCTTATAAATGCTTTTATAAATGCTGTTTGACTGTGAGGAGGAGCCAGCCACAGCTTTGCTGAACCAGCTCCGCTAGAGTCCGTTCTGCTGTACATGGATTCCTTGCTAGGGTGCCCTGTGAGAAATGAAGATCTTAGAATCTGGAGTCAGACACTCAGGTTTAAATATCGGCTCTCCTACTTTCTGGCTCCATGGCCTGGGCGACGTTACACCTCGAAGCCCATTTCCTTCTCCACAAAAAGAAGGGTGAGCACCCACTCCGCTTCCTTACTCCCTCCCGCGGCTGGGACACTGCCCAAACTTAGTGCGGTCATCAGCCCACCCTGCTGTGGCCCCACCCAGCACCTTAATTTATCTCTGAGGAGATTTGATCATTAACATTTGCATTTGGAATCCTAAACTAAAAGACTAAATGACCTGGGAATGCTTGCTGTCCGGAGGGCAGACTCAATTTCCTGGCTCCTCCTCTGAAACTGCCTTTGTAAATTTGGGCAAATCCCGCAATCCCTGAGTCCCCAACAGTGCCGTCCTCTGTGAATGGGAGTTATGACAGCTACTCCAAGGGAGACTCAGTGAGTGGACTTAGGGAACGTTTTCAGCAGTGCCTGGCATGTGACCTGTGATCATTGCTATTGGTGACTGTAAGGACACATACTTGTTTGTGAATCATCTTTCTTAAAAAAAAAAATTGTTTGCTTTGCAGATTTTTAAAAAAATGGATTTGGCCAACCATGGACTTATTCTCCTGCAACAGCTAAACGCTCAGCGAGAGTTTGGTTTCCTGTGTGACTGCACGGTTGCCATCGGCGATGTGTACTTCAAGGCACACAAATCAGTTCTTGCTTCATTCTCCAATTACTTTAAGATGTTGTTTGTCCATCAGACCAGGTAACTAACGTGGTTGTGATAATCGAATGACTGCAGCTGCCCTTCGTGGCCCTCTGTCCCGCTGGACCTGGTCTTCGCCCTCAGCGGGACCACGGGCCTCCCTCCCCGCCATGGGCTCCCGGGCTCCCAGTTCCCTGTGACCTCACTCCCCCTCACCCTTCTTGGTGACCACTTACTTTCTAAGCCCGTTTCTTCTAATCCCATCCTTCCAGTAGCACCTGGGAATCATGGGCCTTTGCGCCCCAAGCAGCCCCTCCAGGGGCCCTCGCCAGGGTCAGCTGTACGGTCCAGATCCCAGCTCAGGCCCATTAGGAAGCCGGCTGCTCCTGACCACATTAATCTCCTCCTCCCCCTAATCCGGCCTCAGCTCCGGGCTTCCGGGATTTATCCTCGACTCCTTCTCTAATGAGAGGCTTGATGGCATCCACTCCCCCAATTTTCTCCTTTTCTCTTTTAAAATGTCTCAAGGTCGGTATGTTTACTTGTGTTTTGTTTTTCATCCCATCTCTTCTGTCTTGGAGAATCTCTTCCGACCTCACGCCCCCAGATCCCAGCCCCTAGTTTTTATTCTGCACTTGGGATTTTATACTTTTAAGCCCCCCAGTGTCTGAAGGGTCAGTGCTTCCTTACACGCTGTCTGCCGGCGATCCGGTGCCGCTCTCGTCTGTTTGGCTACGGAAGTAGGGTGATCTACGGCCTCTGGTACGGGCCTCAGCCCACACGCTTCCTACCCGCGGGCCCTGTGGCTTCTGCCGCGTGGCTCCACTGAAATCATCCCTCCAAGGTCGCCTCTTCCTCAGCACCTCTGCTCTCCTGTCTCTGTGGTCCTTGTCCTGTCAGCACTTGCTGCTGTCTTCTTCCTCGGTCTTCTCTGCATTTGGTCGCTCTGAGCCCATGCTCTCCTGCCCTCTGTGAGGGGGGCGGTGAGGAGGGTCTGGGGCTCTTCCTTTCTGTGTGCAGCTCTCTTGGGTGCTCACGGGTCTCCTTGATCTCACCTCTGCCCGAAACCAGTTTCCAGCTCTGACCTTGATCTTTATTTCCCAAGGCCCCAGGCTGCCTGCCAGGCAGTGACAACTGTATTTCCTCCTTTTATGTCATTTAGCATATCTAAAACTCAATTAAGCCTTGCCTGAGCTCCCTCTGGGTTTCCCCATTTTTTATCTTTGAGAAACCCATAATTAAAATCTTAGTTCCCAATCAGGTTTTCTTCAAAATACCTTTCATAGTAGTCCTTCCCTTCCCCTCACTTCCATTTGCTAATCATCTCCACGTTAGTGTCAGCTTAGTATTCCTGAACATTGCTTTCAGTGTAGCGTGCCTTTAATCAGAAATCCACTTGCTCTGATTGGAAACCTAGAGGGTACCCACTGCATACCAAAATAATATATTCTGCTTCCACAGTCCCACCTCATCTCCCACTGCACCCCAGTGGGACACCCCACCCTTCACCTGAACCACACGGTGCTGGCCGTATTCTGCCCACCCCCCACTCCCAATTCACCTCTCCAGTACCCCTCCCCTAACCTAGTGAACCAAAAGCTGTCTTTCTCTCTCACATCATAGCACTGGGTGCCCTTTTGTAAGATCTATCCATCTTCCCTTTGCTGTCCGTGTACTTGCCTCCCCTCCTCATGTGTATGATTCTCGGGGGCAGAGACGGGGTTCCACAACTCCTTTTAACTGCGGAGTGTGTAGTTCAGGTAGTTGTACATAATAGCACTCGATATGTTTTACCTTGTGACTCTAAGGATGTGCTCCCTTTTACTTGACTGTCAGACTTGCTTCACTTACTGACCTCGCCGCCAATGTGTACTTACAAGTCCCAACGCAATGAATGACACCTATCTTGAAAGGGGGAAGATTTTATTTTGGGGGAGTAGAAGAATACAGTGTAATGAGTTTTAAATAGATGCAAGAAACTTAACCCCTTCCCCAACAATTTTTTTGTTAAAAACGTTTCTTTTTCAGACTAATTTTTTTATTTTGGTTCTATATAGTATTTTTGATGCTGGTTATGAAAACAGTTTGTAACTCGTCTTCCTATAAACCATATTTTTTTACCATATTTTCTTAGTATACTCGTCGACGACTGAAAAAGAACATTTTGTGAAAACGAGTATACACGTTTCTGCCGGGGAAGGGGTTAAGTGTTGGCAGTAAGTAAAGGACTTTCCAACAAGGGAATATGGTATCTGTGCAAATAGGAATCCCGAGTTTAAGCTATAGTGTGTGTTACCAGAGGTGGCACGTGCCCTCTGGGCTGCCGCACAGTGGCCTTGCCCACCTCATTGGGACAAGGCAAATCCTGGGTGAGAATTACTCCCTTTTTCTCAAGCCACTGAGAGCTGCTGCCTGGCTGCTTAAGAGAGAGAATCTGAGGGCATAGTTTTTTCATTTGGCAGGGGTGGGGAACCTTTTTTCTGCCAAGGGTCGTTTGGATATTTATAACATCATTCTCGGGCCATACAGAATTATCAGCTTAAAAATTAGCCTGCTATAGTTGGTCAAACATGTAAGTAATTCACCCCTAAAGCCTTCGCAGGGCCAGACCAAATGATTTCGTGGTCCTTATCCTGGCCAGACGATCCCCACCCCAGGCTTAGAGAGTGTTTTGTCTGTAGTTACCACTAGATGTCTCTGTCCTGTGAACGTTACTCTAAGTGGTTTTAAATCATGTAGGACTGCAGGCTTGCAGCTCTCAACTGAGACACGCCTTGCTAGTAAGTACAGCTTCTGACAGTGTCTACCATTTGACAGTCTTTCTTTTCAAATTCCTTTAAGCCCATCTTAAGATACTAGAATGTGAAGGAAAAGTTGGAATTTTAAATGACTTTATACGGAAGGCTTGTAGCTGTGCTAAACTATGTTTTTCCTACATAAAATGTTCTGTCAAACAGACATGTGCACATCAGGCCACTTGAGGAAATGGTATTGTAGCGAGCTGTGTTCTTCCCAGAGGAGCTGGAAATGACCAGCGTGGCCATAGTGAGCCGAGTGGTAGCTGCCTGGGAGGGAAAGCAGTCAAGGGTAAAGGTGGCTGGACCTTCTCAAAGCAACTTTTTTATGTGTCTGTGTGTCTATATGTGCTTCTGCTTTAAGGGGAAAAAGTTATAATGAAGAAACCAAGATAAGTTTATGCCTGGAAACCGCCCTGGGCCCTGGCAGTAACCCCCAGGGGCCTCCCTTCCTACTGCTGGTGGTTTCTCCCCAACTCTTGGGGGCCCCAGAACTGGCTGAAGTATGGGCTGGCGTCTCCTCAGCCCCTCTCTTCTTTGCCATCCGAGACTCTCATTGTTACCACACAAAACACTCTTGAGCAAAGTGAAAAATGTGTAGTCTCTGATAGTTCTTGAAAATCTGAGATGTGTACTGTCCAGTCACCCCCATTCACAGACAGTAGACAGAGGACAACCTACACAATAACAGATGAGGGGAAATTACTGAACTTACAACAAAGATTTTACTATTAAATGGGCCTCTACTTGGTACCGCTCATGGATGCTGAAAATCATAGTCCCAGTTTCGGATTTCGGCCCTTGCTTTTCTTTCCTGGGGAGGCAGAGCGCTCACTAACTCTAAGCCCTCCTTCCGCCTGGAGAAATATTCTGTCTGGGCAGAACAAGAGGTTCTTGTTCTCTTGCCCAGCATCTTGTGGGGATGATTTTTACCCCTAAGGGCCTATGGTTTCCCAATTCACTGGCCCCTGCCTGGCCCTGGAAAGATCCCCCCTGTTTCTGTCTTCAGGTTAGGGTTGACTGTTTACATTATTAAAGTATTTGTCACCACACTCTCTGAAGCCTCTTTCTGAATGCTGAGCTTCCCGAGGGCATCTAAATATGTCACAGTGTCTGCAGTGCTGTTGGCACGCACCTTGTGCTTAATGGGAAGACCACCTGTATCTTCGTTCCTATTTAAAGGACTGTAAATAATTTAAAAGGATTATAAAAAGAGGCCAAGTAAAGATATGAGAGATCTGTATATCTTCTTTTTTAATAGTCAAGTAACTCTTCCCCTTTAAACTCTCAAGGGATGCCAGTTTTTACGCTTATTCTTTATTCTTTGGCTTCCACACTTTGTAATCACATATTTCTCGTATGATTATTTGTATGCATTCATCTTGAAACATAATCAATACAGTAATACGGTCATTATTCAAATCTCTGTCACAAATTCCAACTAAAGTCATTTTCCCCTTTTTTAATAGAATAAAAATTTAATTTAGAAGAGCTGAGTATACTGTTAATAGTTTAGCATATTGGAAACTATTTGTTAATAAGATAAAACACCTAAAGGGGCCAAAAAGAGTTATAATAATAGGAAGTAGTATAATAAATTATTATATTTGGTCAAGATGATAGCATAGGTAAATGCGGTACTAATACCCTCCCTCAACTACATCAAAACTACGACTAAGCTACAGAACAACCATCATTTAGAACCATTTGAAATCTGGCTGAACAGAGCTCCTATAACTAAGGATTCAAAGAAGCTACATCGATACGGTAGGAAGGGCAGAGACAAGGAACTGGCTGGTCCCACACTCGTGTGTGGCTGGATATCTCAGCTCAGAGGTCTCCCCTGTGGAGCAAGGGGTCCCAGCCCCACACCAGGCCCCCCCCCACCCCTCCGCCCAGGGTTCCAGTGCCAGGAAGAGAAGTCCCAGAACTCCTGGCTGTAAACACCAGCAGGAACTGAGGCTGAGGGAGACAGAGGCTGCTGGGGTCTCGGGCATTCCTCATCAGGGGCCCGTGCATGGACTTCCTCGGACTCACTCCTTCTGGGCTCCAGGGCTGGGCAGCAGTTCGAAAGGCTCCAGGGATACAGGGGCATCAGGGTGAGAGCCGGAGGGCCGCTTGCTCCCAGGTGGAAGCGCTGGCAGAGCTGTCGTTCCTTTTCTGAGCGCTTCCCCTAGGAGCTGGCTGGTGGGCACCATATCTGAGTCTCCATGAGCCTGACTAAGGCTCTTAGCCCCGCCCTGGTGATCCCCTGATACCCGCTGTATTCAACTTTTAGGTCCACTCACACTGTTTCCAGTGTTTTTCCACACAATGACTTCTCTTGCCTTATGCTTCAGATGTTCCTAAAATCTCAAATAAGCTGAATTTGGCTTCAGTGTGCCCCGTACCTCCTACTGAGTGGCCCCAGGCCTGGCACTAGCAGCAGCTGACTGGTTCACAGTGTGGCCTCTCCTGGGCACCTCCAAGCCCAGTAGCATCTGCAGGTCCCTTTGTAGCTCATGCTAGGAGGCTCTGGGCAGAACACAGGCAGCAACCTTGGCCTACACCTCCTGGGAAGCCCCACAGCCAGGGCACCCAGTGGACAGCTTCAGACCACGTTGAAGCATCACCACCCAACCACTTCCACAATGACACACTCAAGGGGCAGACTCAGTGGGCACCAGAGCCCTGCTGAAGTAAGTCCTGCTCTGTGGGGTGGTCTCCTCCTGCCCAACTGATCCTCTACAGTAGTTGGTGGTAGCAGCCAGTCCTTGCAGCTGACCAGCCTGGGGAGTAAATCCTCCCATTGACATGCCAACAGCAATCAAGGCTCAACTACAACAGGAGGGTGTACACAGCCCACGAGGGGGGTGGAGAGCCCAGCTTGGGTGGTCAAGGAGGCTATGCAACTGGACCTTACAGCACACCTACTACATTCAGCCGTTCTACCAAGCCTGGGAGACATAACAGCTCTAACTAATACATAGAAACAAACACATGGAGGCTTCCAAAATGAGGGGACAAACAGGTTCCAAGTGTGAAAGAACAAGAAAAATAAATGAAATGGTGGCCATCAAACTAACAGAGTTCAAATCAACAGTTACAAGGATGCTCTAGGACTTAGAACTTCAACAGCATAAAGAAGGATATGGGAATCATAAAACAGAACCAGTCAGAAATGAAGAATACACTAACTGAAATGAATAATTTACAGGGAATCAACAGTAAAGAAGATGAAGTCAAGAATCAAATCAGCAGCCCGGCCAGTGTGACTCAGTGGTTGAGCGTCGGCCCATGCACCAAGAGGTTGCCAGTTTGGTTTTCAGTCAAGGCACGTGTCTGGTTGTGGGCTCAATCTCCAACAGGGGTGTTCAGGAGGCAGCAATCAATGTTGATGTTTCTCTCTCTTTAAAACAAATTTTAAAAAAGAATCAAATCAGAAATTTGGAATATAAGGAAGCAAAAAACAACCAATCAGAATAACAAAAAACAAAAAGAATCCCAAAAAATGAGTTGCGTAAGGAGCCTCTGGGACAACTTCAAGTGTACCAACATTTGTATCATGGGGGGTGCAGAAGGAGATGAGAAAGAGCAAAATATTGAAAACCTATTTGAAAAAATAATGACAGAAAACTTCCCTAACCTGGTGAAGGAAAAAGACACCTAAGTTCAGGGAGCCCCAAACAAAATGAACCCAAAGAGGCCCACACCAAGAGACACATCATAATTAAATTGCCAAAGGTTAAAGAACGATTGAATCTTAAAAGCAGCAGGAGACAAGAAGTTCGTTACCTACAAGCAGTTCCCATAAGACTGTAGCTGATTTTTCAGCAGAAACTTTGCAGGCCAGAAGGGAATGGCAAGAAATATTCAAAGTGATGAAAAACAAGGACCTACAACCAAGATTAATCTACCCAGCAAGGCTGTTAGTTAGAATTTGAAGGGCAGATAAAGAGCTTCCCAGACAAGAAAAAACTGAAGGAGTTCACCAACACCAAACCAATATTACATGAAATGTGATAGGGTCTTCTTTAAGAAGAAGAAAATGAAAAATATGAATAATAAAATGGCAATAAATACATATCTATCAGGAAGTGAATGTGAAAAGCAAACAAGCAGAACAGAAACATTCACAGATACAGAGAGCATTTGATGGTTGCCAGATAAAAGGGGATTGGGGGAATGGGTGAAAAGGGTTGAGGGGATTAAGAAGTACAAATTGGTAGTTACAAATAGTCATGGGAATGTAAAGTTCAGCATAGGGAATAGTATAGTCAATAATATTCTAATAGCTAGCTATGACGTCCAATGGGTGTGAGATTCGATGATCACTTAGTAGTTATGTAATGTACACCTGAAACTAATATAATATTGTGTCAACTGTAATTGAAAAATAAAAAATATATATTTAAAAGAAAAGATTATTATTCACAAATTTAAAAAAAATTATTATAAAACCTAAAAGCATTTAAGGAAGGTGTCTTTGGAGCTGAAAATGCATTGTCTATGGAGTACATCCATTCGGTGGCTGATAGCACGTGCCCCATAACATGCAAAGCTGTATCTCCCTGGTGTCTAATGATGCAGCAGAACTTCTGTCACTGTTGATGGTCCAGGAAGAGCTCTTGACCTTCGCTGCTTGGCTCAGGATGCCTCTTCAGGGGCGATGCAAACACTAAAATCTAAGCTGGAAAATCAACCATCCCACATCTGCCGTAGGCACCTCCCATAGATCACTTCACTTTTGAAACCTCAGTTTCCATGTCTTTCAAATGGGAATAATCACATCTGCCTCATTTACTACAAAGGATTGGTTTCTTTGTTTTCATTTGTTTGTTTGTTTGTTTGTTTTTACACAGGATTGTTTTAATGCTCTAAGACAGTGGTTCTCAACCATCTGGCCCTTTAAATACAGTTCCTCATGTTGTGACCCAACCATAAAATTATTTTCATTGCTACTTCATAACTGTAATGTTGCTACTGTTATGAATCGTCATGTAAATATCTGACATGCAGGATGGTCTTAGGCAGCCCCTGTGAAAGGGTCGTTCCACCGCCAATGGGGTCGCGGCCCACAGGTTGAGAACCACTGCTCTAAGGAATCTTGGTATCATGGCTTTGGTATTAGACCCAGATTTAATTCCCCATTTTACCACTTAATAACTCTGTGATACTGAGCAAGGTATGAATTCCTTTGAGCCTGGGTCCCTTATCTGTAATATGAGAGTTAATGGCAATTATGTGAAGTAATGCCTGGAAAGCCCAGCTGCAGTTCCGATGATGATGACTACGACGGTGACATTTGATTAAGGAACTGAGTTGTCCTAGAACCACCTTTTTTTTAAGGGAGAGAGATAGATTGATTTGTGGTCCCACTTATTTAGACAGTCGTTAGTTGATTCCTGCATGTGCCCTGACCGGGGATCGAACCTGCAACCTTGGAGTATCAGAACGACGTTCTAACCAGCTGAGCTCCCCTGGCCAGGGCCTGCAGCCACCCTTGAGTGCAGTCTCGCAGCACTGGGAAGGTGACCCGACGGTGCCAGAGCTGGGCCGAGGCCGGCCTTCGTCTCCGTCACCGCCTTGCTGGACGTAGATCAGAGAGTTGCAGACAGACAGAAATAGGCTTTGTTTTTCTCATTTTGTTGTCTTGCTCTTGGCCACTTGTTCTGACTAGTCCAGCTCCCCACGTCATTTTACAAATGAAGAAACTTAATTCAGGAAGGTTGTTTGATTTACTTTAAAAGGTCTCCTACTGAACTCTGGGTGACCTTGGATCCATACAGAACCCTAGACTTTGAGCAAAGGATGTGCCAGGTCATTGGTTCCTAACCATTACGGGGCCACCGGCCACACAGACTGATAGACAGTGAAGGATCCGCTCCATAAAACACAGATTTGGTAGGATACAAAGCGCCTGTTTTTTCCTTCAGGCTGATGTTCTCATGTGAGACAGTTACTGACACACTGGCTGACAGACTTGACTTGTTCTTTCTTTCAGTGAATGTGTCCGTCTGAAACCGACCGACATCCAGCCCGACATTTTCAGCTACCTCTTACACCTGATGTACACCGGGAAGATGGCGCCGCAGCTCATCGACCCTGTGCGCCTGGAGCAGGGGATCAAGTTCCTCCACGCCTACCCTCTGATCCAAGAGGCCAGCCTGGCCAGCCAGGGCGCCTTCTCCCACCCCGACCAGGTGTTCCCGCTGGCCAGCTCCCTGTATGGCATCCAGATCGCAGACCATCAGCTGCGACAGGCCGCCAAGATGGCTCCGATGCCTGAGAAGCTCGGGCGAGAGCCCCGGCCCCAGACCTCCCGGGTGAGCCAGGAGCAGGTGCCCGAAGCCACGCAGCTCTCCCAGCTGACTTCCAATCTGCCCCAGGTCAGCCGGACACACATGACCCCCTCGGACCCCCTGCAGACCTCCCTGTCTCCAGAACTCGTTTCCACTCCCGTTCCTCCCCCCGCCGCCGGGGAGGAGGCCAACCTGGAAGCCTCTTCCTCCGACGAGCAGCCCGCCCCCCTCACCATCGCCCACGTCAAGCCGAGCATCATGAAGCGGAACGGCAGCTTCCCCAAGTACTACGCCTGCCACCTGTGCGGGCGGCGCTTCAGCCTGCGCAGCAGCCTGCGGGAGCACCTGCAGATCCACACCGGGGTGCCCTTCACGGCCGGCCCGCCCGGGGAGGGCCGCGGGCCCCTGTCTCTCTGCAGCAACGCCGTGGACCTGGGGAAGGACGCCGCGGAGGCGCCCGAGGCCGGGATGATCAGCGACAGCGAGCTGCAGCACATCTCCGACTCCCCCATCATCGATGGCCAGCAGCACTCGGAGACGCCGCCGCCCTCGGACATCGCAGACATCGACAACCTGGAGCAGGCGGACCAGGAGCGGGAGGTCAAGCGGCGGAAGTACGAGTGCACCATCTGCGGGCGCAAGTTCATCCAGAAGAGCCACTGGCGGGAGCACATGTACATCCACACCGGGAAGCCCTTCAAGTGCAGCACCTGCGACAAGAGCTTCTGCCGGGCCAACCAGGCCGCCCGGCACGTGTGCCTCAACCAGAGCATCGACACCTACACCATGGTGGACAAGCAGACCCTGGAGCTCTGCACGTTCGAGGAGGGCAGCCAGATGGACAACATGCTGGTACAGACGAACAAGCCCTACAAGTGCAACCTGTGCGACAAGACGTTCTCCACTCCCAACGAGGTTGTCAAACACTCCTGCCAAAACCAGAACTCGGACGTCTTCGCCCTGGACGAGGGGCGGTCCATCCTCCTGGGCAGCGGGGACTCTGAAGTCACGGAGCCCGACCACCCCGTGTTAGCGAGCATTAAAAAGGAGCAGGAAACGGTGTTGTTAGACTGAATGTTACGTATCTTTTTAGAACTGTCATTTTTTTTACAAAGACTGTCTTCCTTCCCTTTCCCGATTCAGAACTATCGTTCTCCGTGGCATGATACGAGAGGTCCCAGGTCCCTTGCCCCTCTCCTTGCCCGTGTCCCCAGCCCCTCCTCCCCCTCCTCCCCCTCCTTCGTAAGGCTCTGTGCATTATAAACCTGGAACATTTGCTTTCATTCAGGGGACATCGGAAAGATTATAGCCAGTAGTACTTGTACACTCAAATGGGTTTTGAGTCTTAGATTATTTAAAAGCATACTTGCTTGGAACTAATGAAGGGTATTTAACAAAACCAAACAACCAGAATGCAATTTGGTAAGCTAGAATTATGACCTTCCCCGGGTAGTGTCTTCCTTCTCAGAAAAACAGTGTCAGGAAACCCAGCATGCTTCTTGGAGACACAGCTGGGCTCTTTACTATGCAAAGTCTCGGGTGGAAAACCTTAAACCCAAGAGAACACTCTTAGTACCCATCCTCCAGGTGTCTCATTTCAGAACGCGTTCTTTGAAATTATGTCCAGTCAAGAAAAATCATTAGTTAAGAAACCTCCTTGAAAAAAACACAGGAAAAAAAGTAATAATGTGATGGCAATCTTAATTTTTGGATAAAACATGACAAGCTGTGAGTTTGTGTGTTTGTAAGAGAACGTGTGATCCTTGCGACAAACAGGTGAATTAATGCACATGCCTTATCTAATTGCTGGCTTCTTTCAAAGTTGAACAACAGAGTACTGTATTTTCATTTTTGATAAACGTGTTGGTTTTAAAAATCAGATTGAAAGTGCTATTCTGTCGATGGTCTTTCTGAATAGAGTTGACATGCCATTCTAGCAGTTGCCAGTGGTACATTTGTATTAGCACCAACCTGCTGCTGTTAAATCAGTGTGTCTACTGCAGGAAAAGGGATACAGGATCTCATAGGGGAAGCTGTGAGCAGAACATGGGAGCCTTAAGGGTTTTTAAAATTAATGCTAATAGTTTACTGGCAACACTCATTGAAAACATCAAAAATGGCAAAGAGAAATCAGGACCAAAAAAACCTAATTACTTTTTGGGAAAAAACATGACTTTGATATTTAGTCTCCAGTTTTTTTAACACCTGAAGTTTCCTCTATTGGCCTGAGAACAGTAAAATTGGTCCATTAGTCTTTCCTTGGGACAAAACAGGAGCCAGAAGTAAGGACCGAAGGGGAGAGGGGAGAACAATAGCAATGCCGTATACGTATATGTTAAAACTGACCATCCCATCATCCTATTTCATGTATAGTTGAGTTCTAAGATTTGTAAGTTTTTATACATACTTTCATTAAATAAACATTTAATTAAATGGGTGCATATTTTATCTGTGTATGACTTTGTCAACCCAAAACGATGCAAGGAGGGGAGGTGGAGATGCTTTCTTGCTCTGTCTCCTCCTCCTCTGCCTGTAGAACTTTGGGCAGTTTCCTGACCTGAATGGCATTTTCCACATTTGTTAAATGAAGACATTGATGACGGAATTGTGTCATCATAGTGTGAGAGTTATATGAGGAAAGTCTATATGAAGATGCTATGAGCAATCAAAGTTTGACCAGGAATGGGTCTGAAGATGGTGTTACCCAACTTCTTTTACAAGGAAGGAAAAGGCCAAGGAGTGTTTGCTTAGGTTCATGCTATATAAACCTAGGTTATGAAATACTGAGTGGTTTCTGCCGATTTCTTTTTTTTAAAATATATTTTCATTGATTTCAGAGAAAAAGGGAGAGAGACACAGAAATAACAATAATGAGGGATGTGCCTCGCCGGCACAGCTAGGTTCCCAGAGCCTGTCGGGGTGGTGAAGGATTTAGAAAGGACAGACAAGAGAAGAAAGCTGGGCGCTAGGTGGGACGCTGCCCTCTCCGATGGAGAGACAGTGCCCCGGCCTGCAAAGCGAGTCTTTATTTTATAGCCAGATCCCAGGAGGCAGAGGGTGTGGTCACAACGTTCTCTCGATTTTGAATCTACTCAATTACCTGCACCTGATCAAGCTTTGTTTACTTGCGGCACCTCCCGCAGCCCACGTCACTCAGCCACGTGGGGCCACAGGTTCGGACCATAAGGTCAAGCTTACAAGAGCCTTTGGCTATAATCGTGCTGGGACTTGCACGTGGCTTTACCACGAGAGGATCATTTTTAGTCCCAGGCTTGAGCCTGTCCAAACGCTGTAGCTCTCCACAGAGGGAGAATCACCGATTGGCTGCCTCCTGCAAGCCCCACACGGGATCATGCCCGCAACCTAGGAATCGAACCATGACCTCCTGGTTCATAGGTCGACACTCAACCAGAGCCACGCCGGCTGGACTATTTAATCGAAGCTGGGACCCTTCAGTCCACAGGCTGATGCTCTACCCACTGAGCCAAACAGGCTAGGGCTAGACAATTTCCTTTTAAAAAAAATACTATATTAACATCTCCTAACTTAAATGAGTCTTGTGTCCAGTTAATTATCTATGAAAGGGGAAATTGGGGCATCCTCCACTACCCTCCACACCACCCCCAGGCTGCCTTAAAGGGGCAAAGAATGCAGCCTAAAGACAGGGTCTTGGAGACTTGAAAGGGAGTGGAGTCATTCCTAGCATGCTTTCCCATTTGAAGCAAGGGGCTCCTTAACGAGATGTGTACAATGTGCAGATTGGTGCATGGGCTCTTAGAAGAAGTGCGTGTCTGAGACCCTGGGATTTACTCTACATCTCCCTGTTCTCGTTCTAAATGCCCTTGTTAACCTGGGAGCACAGAAAAATCATAAAGCACCCTACATAGTTTTTGAGGAGGCCACCTCGATGGGCCTCCTTGCTATAAGAGAGGTAAGGTCTGGATGAGGAGATAAAATGGTGCTAGGTCATGGGCCACGGTCATACAACTACTTAGGGTAATTATAGAGCCCAGGCCTCCCAATCCAGGGCTCTTTCTGCGACCAGCACACTGCCTCAGAAACCCTCCTTAGCAGCTGTTTAAATTTATCTCTAGGGAGCCCTAGCTGTCTTGTCTCAGTGGATAGAGCATAGGCCTGCAGATTGAAAGGTCCCAGGTTCAATTCTGGTCAAGGGCACATGCCCAGGTTGTGGGCTCCATCCCCAGGAAGGAGGCAGCCAATTAATGATTCTCATCATTGATATTTCCCTTTCCCCTTCTGCCTCCCTCTCTGAGATCAATAAACAAATAAAAACAGATGTACCTTTATGTATATTTTTGTTAGCAAAAAAAGATGGACTAAAGAATTATTTCACCTGTTTAGTTAGAGATGCCCCTAAGCAGACAAAGGAGAGAAGGCAGCATCCAGAGATGATGCCCAGTTTGGGGAGCCTCTGGAGTGACCAGGGAGAGACTGCAGATTGGCTTCCTCCAAACCAAGCCCCCACCCCATATGGCCCCCCTGCAAGTGTTTCGGGGGGGATATGCTAGCAAGCCACAAAACCTGAAAAGGCACCAGGGACAGGAGGAGAGAAAGGAAACGCAGATGGCATGAGGTGGATGTTTCCTCTCTAAAAAAGAACATGGCTCAGTGCTTGAGCTTTGACCTATGAACCAGGAGTTCACGGTTCGATTCCCAGTCAGGGCACACGAGTATGCCTGGGTTTGGGGCTCGATTCCCAGAATGAGGCATGCAGGAGGTAGCTGATCAATGATTCCCTCATCATCAATGTTTCTATCTCTCCCTCTCCTTTCCTCTCTGAAATCAATAAAAATAGTTTTTTAAAGAAGATGGAAAATCCTTAAGAAGGGCTATCCTGTCTTAGCAGGTGTGGCTCAGTTGGTTGGGTTGTGAGGTGGTGGGAACAGCGCCAGTTGTCTGACAGGAAGAGGGGGGCGGGGGCGGGGGGCGGTCAGACCAACCCTGGGTTAGAAAAGAATTCAGAGCCAAGACCCAAACTGTAAGAGAACATGTACTGGGTAAATCACAGAGGCAGAAAAAGTAATTTCTAGAAGAAATGCGTGTATGGAAACAAATAATGGAGGCAAAGGAAGGGCCTTGGAGCTTGGGATGAGGAAGCTGACAGGAAAGCGCTTGGGGCAGGGAAGGAGAGGGAAGGGGGAGGGGAGGGAAAGGTACCAGCGTGCTCCCAGGAGGAAGAGCGCACTGGGTCCTCCATCCTAAGGATTTTACTTTTAATTTTTTTGTTAATCCTCACCCGAGGATATTTTTCCATGGATTTTTAGAGAGTGGAAGGGACAGGGAGAGAGAGAGAGACACCCGACCAGGGCAAGGGCAGAGGATTGAGCCTGCAACCCAAGAGGTACGTTCCCTTGACTGGAATGGAACCCAAAACCCTTCAGTCCTCGGGCTGACGCTCTAACCACTGAGAAAAACCAGCTAGGGCATGTCCTAAGGGTTTGTTGTTTTTGTTTTTTTAAAATATATTGATTTCAGGGAGGAAAGGAGGAGAGATGGTAACATCAATGATGAGAGAGAATCATTGATTGGCTGCCTTCTGCAAGCCCCACACTGGGAATCGAGTCCTGACTAGGAATTGAACCGTGATCTTCTGGTTCATAGGTCAACACTCAACGACTGAGCCACGCAGCCAGGGCCAGGGGACCATCTTAATAGAATATTCAGCAGCTTTCTAGGCGTATCCTTTCAGGGTGTGGTCCCACTGATTGATTGGCAGGCAGCAGGGCAGGGGGCATTATCAATGCAGCTGGCCCTGAGGTCAGCTGTGCCTGGCTTTGTTGCTGATCTGAGCCTGGAGCTGAAATTCAGCTGAGGCCTAGGTGTTACCCCTGGGGCTGAAAGGTCAGGGGATCCAAACGCAAGACCAGGGCTGTGCTCGGGGAGAAGAGTCACCCGGGGGAGATCCCACCCTACAGCTGATTGTCCTATGCTAGGCCCCTGGGGCTTTCCAGCTGGTGACCTACCTAGCCTCTCACCCTTGCTCTGCTCATGTCAGTCTATCAGTGGTTCTCAACCTTCTGGCCCTTTAAATACAGTTCCTCATGTTGTGACCCAACCATGAAATTATTTTCGTTGCTACTTCATAACTGTAATGTTGTTACTGTTATGAATCGTCATGTAAATATCTGAATATGCAGGATGGTCTTAGGAGATCCCTGTGAAAGGGTCGTTCGACCGCCAAAGGGGTCGAGACCCACAGGTTGAGAACCACTACTGCCTACAACAGTCCCTTAAGCCAAATGGTTGCTGGTTTGATTTCTGTTGAGGGCATATGCCGGGGTTTCGGGCTCAATCCCCAGTATGGGGTGTGCAGGAGGCAGCCGCTTGATGTCTTGCTCTCATATCAATGTTTCTCATGCTTTCTTCACCCTTCTCTCTAAAAATCAAACACAAAAACTCTTTTTTGAAAAAAGAGGGGGAGGGGGCTATCCTTTGGCCTTGCAGGATCACAAACATCTGTGGCCTACACTCATCAAGTTCAAGCCCAGCTGGCGTGGCTCCGTGGTTGAGCATTGATCTATGAACCAGGAGGTCAAGGTCCGATTCCCAGTCATGGCACATGCCTAGGCCCCCCAGCAGGGGCGTGTAGGAGGCAGCAGATTAATGATTCTCATCATTGATGTTTTTATCTCTCCTCGCTTCCTCTCTAAAATCAATAAAATACATTTTAAATGATAGACACATACTTCTTTGTTCATTTTCTTCTCAATCCTCACCTGAGGATATTTTTCCATTGATTTTTATTTTTTATTTTTTTAAATATATTTTATTGATTTTTACAGAGAGGAAGGGAGAGGGATAGAGAGTTAGAAACATCGATGAGAGAGAAACATCGACCAGCTGCCTCCTGCACACCCCCTACTGGGTATGTGGGTCGGCCCACAACCAAGGTACATGCCCTTGACCGGAATCGAACCTGGGACCTTTCAGTCCCCGGGCCGACGCCCAAACCGGTTAGGGCTCCATTGATTTTTAGAGAGACTGGGAGAGAGAGGGAAAGACAGAGAAATATTGATGTGAGAGAAACACATTGATTGGTTGCCTCCTGCACAAGCCCTGGCCAGGGCCAGGGAGCAGCCTGCAACCAAGGTACATGCCCTTGACCAGAATTGCACCCAGGACCCTTTGATCCACAGGCCGAGGTTCTATCCACTGAGCCAAACCAGCTAGGGCAATAAAATATATACATTTTTAAAAATTCTAGTAACACCCTAGCCACTGTGAGAACTGAAAACTCACAGCCGCCAGCACTGTTGGAGGCGC